TCTTGGAAGACCTTAAGCTAGGAGACTTTGGAGATGTAAAATCTAGCTTGGATGAGCACAGGGAGCAGAGCATGGCAACTGGGCTGCTCGGAATGGAGTCAGCATCAGCCTGCCAGAGGCCACGTGGCCTGCCCACACGCTATTCTATTTCCAAGCAGCACTGGCAGCAGCGGTTGCTGCGGGTCAGGGATGATGCTGGAGGGGTGCGTGACTCTAACTGGGGGAGGCATGAGCGAGATCTTGGTGGTGATGGAATAATTCAGTATCTTATCTGAGACAGCAGTTCCAGAATCCACAAATGTGAGCTATTCACACAGACTGGACCAGTGCCAATTGTCTGATGGCATCTGGTACTCTGGTTACACAAGATGCGACCATGGAAGGCAGATGGGTGAAGAATACACAGAACCCCTCTGCACTATCTCTGTAATTCCTTGCGAATCTAGAATTATCAAAATTTTCTTTAAAGAAAGAAGCCCTCATAACCATTCATCAGGAGCTGCGGATGTTTTCTGGGTCTGAGTATATCCAGAGCATGGCACAGCACCTGCACTGCAGAGGCCCAAGCTGGCTGGTTCCGGTTCAGCCTGCAGCTCCTCCAGGCAGGCCCCATGGTCCCCAGTCTGGCCCAGGCATCCAGTTACATGCTTCCAAACCCAGAACAGCGCACCTCTGACTACAGGCAAAGTAGTGACATTTTGAAATTTAAACCATAATCTTCCCACAAAACACGAGTGAGAGTCGGTCATTTTCCTAAGAAGTCACGATATGGTATGAACTAGCTGCATGTTTGACAAAAGTGCAAGGAAAGTTGCTAATACATAACTAAGTCAGTTAAATGCAGGTTTTTTCTCTTTAAAAAAAAGATTTATTTATTATTTACTTGAAAGGCTGAGTTACAGGGGTAGGGGAGGAAGAAAGAGAGAGAGAAAGAATCTTCTATCTGTTGGTTCACTCCCCAGATGACCACAACGGCTGAAGTTGCGCCAACCCGAAGTCAGGAGCCAGGAGCTTCTTCCAGGTCTTCCACGTGGGTGCAGGGGCCCAAACACTTGGGTCATATTCAGCTGCCTTCCCAGGTGCATTAGCAGGGAGCTGGATCAGAAGTGGAGCAGCTTGCCCAAATGTAATTTTTTTAATGCAAAAAAAAAAAACTTCGTGGGGCCGGCGCTGTGGCCCAGCGGGTTAACGCCCTAGCCTGAAGCGTCGGCATCCCATATAGGCGCTCCTCTTTCAATCCAGCTCTCTGCTATGGCCTGGGAAGACAAAGGATGGCCCAAGTCCTTGGGCCCCTGCACCCACGTAGGAGACCTGGAAGAAGCTCCTGGCTCCTGGCTTTGGATCAGCGCAGCTCCGGCTGTTGCGGCCAATTGGAGAGTAAACCAGCAGATGGAAGACCTCTCTCTCTCTCTCTCTCTCTGCCTCTCTTCTCTGTGTAACTCTGACTTGCAAATAAATAAGTAAATATTTTAAAAAAATTGGTTAACCTTGGCAGTAGTGTGGCGTAAGGGGAGAACGCTGCCTTTGGAGCTGGAGGGATCTACATTTAAAGCCTGCAGGCGCCACTTTGGAGATTTGTACCACTGCTCGCTGAGTGTCAGCTTCCTCACTGCTGAGGAGGTGGTCCTGGGGCCTAGTCACAGAATTGGTACCAGGATTACATGAGATAATATAAGCACCTAACAGCGCTCGGCACACAGATGCTTGACAAAGTTGTAACTTCTATGATAACTGGAAACTGGAGAAATTAAAATCAGCAGGCTTGGCTCAGGATGAGACAAAGGAATGTGGTTACTGCCAAGGTTCTGGAACGGCAGGTACTGAAGACAGAGCGGAGACAATGTCTTCCCCTCCAGGGAACACCTCTGTCTTAACATCCAGCACTACCAAACTTTCTGACACTCTTCGGGGGTCTGACCTCCAGCAGCGCCAGGCCTTTGCAGTGCCCAACAGAAATTTGGGTCAGTGTTGCTAGGGGGACAAGGAGGGAAACAGAGTGACATTCCTTCTGACTGAGAACAGGCATCAAAGGAGGTGGTATTTTCAAACAAATCTGACCCAAGTCCTCTTGCCCTTGGCTATGGGGGCTGTTGTAACTGACACCGCAGTTTCTTAGCAACAGCTTATTCAGGAAAGGTATAGGTGCAACTCAATAAGAGCAAACTTAATGAATGAAAACCACATGTATGTTAGGTAAACTTCATCTGTTTACAGAGACATTTTTCATTTGTTTTCTTACATGGATTGAACCTCCAAAGCTTCTGGTTTCTGTATCATGCAGGTAAACGTGTAAGGGAAGGAACTGCAGGGGACCCCTCCCCAGTGTGGTGCCCGGAGCAGTGGCGCCACCTGGGACCTCCTCAGGAATGCAGATTCGGTCTGCCCGGGTCTCGGAATGGAAAGCTGCAGCCCAGCAGGCTCCCAGGTGACTCGCATGGGAAGCCCTGTCCTCAGCAATGTCCTGCCACATAAGCCAGAGCCCCCCCGGCACCAGGGCGTAGAGAGCTCGCCCGGCCTTCTCCACCTAACTCCTCACTCACAGCAGAGACCACCACCATCAGCTGGGAAAGCTTTTCTCTTATAAGTCAAAACAATTTCCTTTCTTCTTCTTCTTCTTTTTTTTTTTTTCCTGATACCTAGACCCTAACCCAAGTTTTGGATTTAGTTGGTCTGGGGTGGGCTGCTGGCACTAGCTCCTTAGGCAAGTCAAGGCAGCCTCTGTTGAGAGCCAGCACCTGCTAGAAAGCTACCTCCCAAAGAGTTAGCATCTAAAGGCATCACCCAGAGGAAGCACTAGGCTAGAGAGATTAGGCTGTGACTAGACAGAACCAACACAGTGTCCTGTGACAGCTGAATGGACTGGCGCTCCTCAACCACAGGTGCACATCTTGCTCGGGCGCACATCTCACTACCACAAGCCAGGGAGCCCGCCCCAAAGAGCACACCAACACCCAGAGGGCCGCAAACAAAAGCCAGCCCAACAGTGGAGAGGAAACCTCTCGCACCCCACAACAAAAAGCACTCTGCACTTAGCACAGAAATTCTTTTATGATCACCTTCCCTGGTCTGTTCCACTGTCCGATGTCTACGAGGGAGCTGCAGAAGACCAGGGCTGAGGGCGGCAGGGGGAGGCAGTGGGGAGAAAGAGGATCAAGTCATCCGAGAAGGCAAGGATGGCACAGCAGCCGGGGCAGTGGGATTGCGGGCCGTGGGGACAGGGACAGGCGTCACGTGGCAGGGCTATCAGGCAGAGGACGGGTGGCAGAGCACAGGAGGGGAAGCAGCTGCCAGGCAGGCTCTTCTGGAGGACACTGACATTGCTAAAGAGGCCCAGGCGAGGACTCAGAGGAGGAGGCTCGGAGCCCCAGGTGAGGCGCTCAGGGGGCGGGCGGGTCACATGGAGAGCACACGGGGCGGGGGCCTGAGGACCGCAGCTCTTTCCCACAGCCGCTTGGGAATGAAACTCTGTGTGATGAGGCAGGGGCACTCCCACTTCGGACCCCTGCCTCTCTGGTGACTGTGTAGACTGCACAGCCACCACCCCCGGAAGGTCCCTGGGACCCACTGAAGCCAGGCCTCCCACGCTGCTGATGGAGCAGGGCAGAAAGAGATCAAGGATCTAAGACTTCAGTCCCAGCCTGCAAAGGAAATCACCAAACCAAATTTCTCAGCACTGGTAACCCTGAGTCTCTAAAAATAGTATTAAGTGGGGGATGGCACTGTGGCGCAGTGGGTTAACGCCCTGGCCTGAGGCGCTGGCATCCCATATAGGCGCTGGTTCTAGTCCTGGCTGCTCCTCTTCTGATCCAGCTCTCTGCTATGGCCTATGAAAGCAGTAGAAAATGGCCCAAGTCCTTGGGCCCCTGCACCAGTGTGGGAGACCCAGAAGAAGCTCCTGGCTCCTGCCTTCGGATCGGCGCAGCTCCAGCTGTTGTGGTCAGTGTGAACCATCGGATGGAAGACCTCTCTCTCTGTCTCTACCTCTCTCTGTAACTCTGTCTTTCAAATAAATAAAATAAATCTTTTAAAAAAAATAGTACTAAGTGACAAATACTATCTACCTCCCTGAAGAAGAGATTTGTGTCAGTTTGGGAATGTGCCAGAAATAAATGAAACAGATCCTTTCTGTTCTATAGTCACCAAGAGCCTTGGTTAGGAACCTAAAAAGGAGCAAAAGTACAATACTCCAATTAGCTACGTAACAGCCGTAGCAACCATGCAGTTCAGATTTTCTTTGACAATACCAATTTTAAATATCTGATCCCACTAGCGCCAGAAATCCATATTTCAAAAATTCTAGTGTTTTGATGTCCAAACTACGTTTAGGGCTATTTTTCATGCTTGGAAGTGACAGAAAAATTCAGTGCTATATTAATGCCCAATTTAACAACATGAATTATGAATTAGGGGCTCATCCTGTGTGGGGGTGGTTTAGTAGCACCATTCTTACCTTTTAGTTTGAAACAAACAGTATTGTACAATGGAGGAAACACCCCAGCTAAACCCCTTCCAAACTCTCAATGCTGACCTAGCAGTATCTCCAGTGCTTTTAGGATGGGAGAGACCAGAACCAGAGAACGCCCATGAGTCTTCGTCCCGGGCCCACATTCAAGTTCAGTGAGGCCGTCTGATCAAAACACAGACGCCCTGCACTCCACCTCCCTCTTGGTGACAACAGAAACATGCTCTCCTCTTACTATATCAGCGGTAGGTGCTCCTTCCTGAGTCTAATCTAGTCCTCACACCAGAAACACACACACACACACACACACACACACACACACAGCAGGTGACACACACAGCCCCCTTTTGTAGGGTCGTTATGACCAACTATCACTAAGAGGGTCACATTCAGCTTCCATATGAAGCCTCTGAAAATGGCTACCTTTGCGTGTGCAGGCGGGGTCAGGGGAGTAACTTCAGCACAGATACAGTCTTACACACAGTTGAAAATCAGTCAGTATTAAAACAGAACATATCAACTAGATGTGGCATCATACCTCCAGAGTCTTCTTACTCTGTCTTTTTCCAAAAATGCAGTCAAGGTCCGTTTTGCTCCGAGATGATAGATCTTTCCCTAGAAAACAACGCAGCACTTCTCAGTCAGAGCATTGTTTCTGCAGCCGGGAACACAGCCACAGCTTATCCAGCTCCTCCCAGGACACGGTTTCACGGCAGAACTGCACAATTCTGTAACTGCTGACCTTGCTGCTCCCTCTTCTACAGGTTATGACTCCGTCACTGGTAAGGGTTAACTGCATTTAACAACCACAGAAACAGAACCAGAGCTCTTGCCACTGTCTTCGTAACTCCAGAAACGACCTAGAGCATACAGACCACAGGAGAACTAAATTCCAAAGTTGCCTCCCTATTCGTGTGCCTTCAAGGTGGAATTTCTGGGTCTCCGGTTCCCCCTTCACTTCACACAGACATGGCTACTTCCTTAGGATTATGAGATGTAGAATACCAGTCAATGCCAGATGCACAGCTTCAAACTCTACCTATGCAAGTGAGTGAGAACACACCACATGTGACACTCGAGAGCTCAATGATTAACTGAATTCATGAAAATGTTAAAAGAACAAATGAAATAAAAATGGCTTCAGATTTTTCTTTTTAAAATGCTCTTTACCTTTATGGCCACGTCACCTTCAAAGAAAAGGTTACATAAGGAAAGCAGGAGAAGAAATGGCTCTGGTGAAAGCAGTACCCAAAGAAACTCTGATTCTCATTCCAAAACCTAAACCAACTGATTTAAAATTCATTTCTTTGGAATGTCCACTTTTACCCATCAACATCCTAGGAGCAGTCAATCAAATCTATTTTCACTTTCAATTTCATGATAAATGCATTTTAAAATGTAGCCATTCCACATAAAGCCTTGAGGCCCTGGGACAGACACAGGAATCTGTGTTTCGAGTTGGAGTTCCACTGACAGGGACTCATCCATCCTCTTGGTTTCCTGTAGCAAAATGACTTGGCAAAGAAATGACATGACCCAGAAGGTTCTAGTTCACTGATGATTGCTAGGGCATTCAAATATGATACTGCTCAGTGACTCCATGAAATCGAAAAACAAAACACCCTTCAAATGAACACAAAACCAGTTCCATAGGCGGCAGCAGCACAGGTTAAGTGGTGCAATCAGTGCGACCTGTCCCTGTCAGAGGAGTGGGTATGCGGTGCCTCTAACAAACTCAGTGCTTTGGGTTGTAAGGTACTATGAAACAGAACTGGCATAGAGACCCCAGAGAGAACCTAGGTAAGAGCAGAATGAAGCGTATCACAGATAAGAGCTCAGAAAGGGAACCACAGAGGGCCGGCACTGTGGCGTTGTGGATAGAGCTGCCAACTAAGATGCTGGCATCCCACATGGGCGCCGGTTTGAGTCCCAGCTGCTCCACTTCCTATCCAGCTCCCTGCTAATGCGCCTTTAGAAAAGCAACAGAGGATGATCCAAGTGCTTGGGCCCCTGCAACTCCACAGGAGTCCCAGAAGAAGCTCCTGGCTCCTGATTGGCACAGCTCTGGCTGTTGTGGCCATTTGGGGAGGGAACCAGCAGATGAAGATTCTCTCTCTTTAACTTTGCTTTACAAATAAATAAATAAATATTTAAAAAATAAATAAATAACAGAAAATGGCCACAGAAGAGGCCAGGAGAAGTGGAGGCAGCAGGGCGAGGCTGATGAGCTCCCAGTGGGTGCAGAACTCCAGTATCAGCCCCTCCAGCAGCGTGGCTCATTCTCCATGGCAAAGCCCAGTCAGGGAGGCAGTTTCTGTTTCAGAAAAGAGCTGTACCGAGCTGCAAGTGTGCAGAGGCCAAAATACATGCACACTGCCCTATAAGTAGGAAAATGCAAATTAAGATCTCTCCTCCAGCAATTCACTGAAAGGATCAGGAACGCAGGAGGGATTGGGGGAGGGGACCTGCAAGATCCCAATTCAGGATATCGAAATCTGAACTCCCAGGGATTAACAGCAAATCTAAGAACCAAACAGAAAACTGCCCAGCTGGGAGAGACAGTGAGCTGGACCAGTGAAGGTACAGAAGTTTCTACAGTTTTGGTGATGGTTCTTGTACCAGAAATGTTTATCCTTTAGCAAAGTTCATTAAGTAAATGTAGAAAGCAGGATTGTTACAGGCCTTGCTCTGGATTTGATCTGGAAAACAAGAAAACAGAGAAGAAATAACAGTCACATCCATGGGAAAGGAACTGAAAGTGGACAGAAACACAAGGACAGAAGTGATTTTGAGAGTTATCCATTCCTGGTCCTGGCTGAATGTTTATAGCCATTATAAAATCATGGCCAGTTCTGAACAAAGCATACATATTAAACCTGAGTGTCAAAAGCTTGTTAAGTCTCAGTTCTGAATTCTGGTAAAATCTAAGCAAGTGATGTTAATAACCTCGGGTCTTAGAGAAAATGATAATAAAAACATCTGAACAGAATAGAGAGTACATGTGATCTGCTTGGACTTAGCTCCTCTCTGTTTACTGGTTTTCAGCTGGGCCATATCTCAAGAACCAGGAAGAAAGACTTCCGATAGCCAAACTGCTGTGACCAAGTCCCTGCAAGGATGCACAGAGAGCAGCTTGGCTCGTGCTGGACAGCGTGTCTGCGCAGCAAAGCAGGGGGCACCTGTGCTGTTACAGTCACACGCGTGACACCACAAGTCCACATGGGAAACATATGATGGTACCAGGCAGACACAGCACTCAGTGTAAGGGCAAAAGCAATATGTCAACAAGCACTAAGGAGAGAACCATATTAAAACTGAGAGTTAAAAAAAAAAAAACCAAACAAGGAAATGCAGGGTTTATCTTCTCAGACTAAAGTAGCCAGGACAAGAAAATGTTGGTTTTAAAAATATGTTTGTTAAAATACAAAATACCTAAGGTTTCTGTAGATAGCTCCAGTTATACAAGAAATTCATGTTCATTTTTCAATCAAAAAGGATAAATAAAGACAATGTTATATCATTTTTTTAATGCAGCCTATGGGACTGATAATAAGCCTTAGACAAAAGGAAAAGGCAAAAAGGGAACGATGGACACCCAGGCAATCCGGAAGACTTGGAGTGCGGGGTGAGACCAGGGCAAGCCTACAGATCAGTAAGAAGGCAGTGTGGATTTGTGAAAGGCCCGCGCTGGTGCTACTTCATATTTTAAAGTCCACAGTCAGAATAGCGCCCCATGGGGGCAGGCTCCTGGCTGCAGCAGCACCTGGACCGTCATGCGTGTCCCAGGAATAAGGGGTCTGCATCACCCGCCATGATGAAGCTGCACAACGAACAGTTCATGCAGCTTTTCAGCCGCCAGTGCGCAACTGAAGGGCGAGGGCAGAGCTACAAGCCTGCAAAAAGGGCTTCATGTAAGTCAGTACTTTCCTCTCCGGAGAACATGGTCTCATCAAACGCTTTTCAGATGAAAAGAAATCATGCTGGAGTTTACGACTTTTAAAACAAATACAGAGGGAAGTAACGTTCAAAGTCATAAATTACTTCACATCAAAATTGGGAATTGGAGGCTAGAAAAGGAATACTTATGTGTCAGAGGTAAAATCATGTGGCTGGCATTTAGGCAGTAGCAAATTTTACATTACTCTGTTACTACCATCTTTGTTTTAAATTATTTTTAGGCCGGCGCCGCGGCTCACTAGGCTAATCCTCCGCCTAGTGGCGCTGGCACACCGGGTTCTAGTCCCGGTTGGGGGGCCGGATTCTGTCCCGGTTGCCCCTCTTCCAGGCCAGCTCTCTGCTGTGGCCAGGGAGTGCAGTGGAGGATGGCCCAGGTGCTTGGGCCCTGCACCCCATGGGAGACCAGGAAAAGCACCTGGCTCCTGGCTCCTGCCATCAGATCAGCGCGGTGCGCCGGCCGTGGCGGCCATTGGAGGGTGAACCAACGGCAAAAGGAAGACCTTTCTCTCTGTCTCTCTCTCTCACTGTCCACTCTGCCTGTCAAAATAAATAAATATATATATATATTTAATTTATTTTGTTTATTTGAAAGACAGAATACAGAGAGACAGAGAGGTATCTTCCATCCACTGATTCACTCCCCAAAAGCTCACAAGAATGCTCCAAAGCCAGGAACCAGGAACTCCATCCAGGTTTTCCATGTGGGTGGCAGGGACCTAAGAACCTGAGCCATCATCTGCTGCCTTTGAGGGTGTGCCTTAGCAGGAGGCTGGATCTAAGCAGGGGCAGGACTCAAACCCGAGCACTGAGGATGCAGGCGTTGGCGGCGTAGCCTGCTACACCACAAGACCCACCCTCCATTGCTACTGTCATCCTACTAAAGGCAACTTTTTTTGGACAGGCAGAGTTAGACAGTGAGAGAAAGAGAGAGAGACAGAGAGAAAAGTCTTCCTTCCATTGGTTCACCCTCCAAATGGCCGTTACAGCTGGCGCGCTGCGCTGATCCGAAGCCAGGAGCCAGGTGCTTCCTCCTGGTCTCCCAAGTGGGTGCAGGGCTCAAGCACTTGGGCCATCCTCCACTGCCTTCCTGGGCCACAGCAGAGAGCTGGACTGGAAGAGGAGCAACCGGGACAGAACCGGTGCCCCAAATGGGACTAGAACCTGAGGTGCCGGCGCCGCAGGCGGAGGATTAGCCTGGTGAACTGCGGCACCAGCCCTAAAGGAAACATTTATCTTCACTTTTCACTAGGCAATATAGAATGCCATCATCCTACACTTTAGCGTCCTGGACCATACGCAGAGTTAGAACTTGAATCATCCTCACCAATTAACTGAATTTGTTACTTTCACTATGAGCATGCCCACAGCTAACATCCTTATTATGCCCAATGCTGAAAAAGCAAAAGTTTCATAAAAAGAGTCTGATAACATAAAACAAAACCGCGTTTGGAACTGCAGTGACTCACAAATGTTCCCTGGCTCCTAAGAGAGGAAACTGAGTCTGCGAGCAGGGAAATGGCTGGGTGACTTGTCCCACAGGGGAGCGGCAGGACCCAGCCTTCCTGTGATCTGAGATGGCCCAAAGCTAGAGAAAAGAGCCGGTCACAGCCAAGGACAACACCTGGCTCTGGGACGAAACACTGCTTCTAGTAAATTCTCAGTGGACCACGAAGACAGCCACTAAGCAGCCGCTTTCCTCACTGCCTGCCTTCCTGGCCCCTCCCCTCCCCAGCGTGCATGCATGCTGCTGCTCTCCTGCCTCGCTCACATTCCTCTCGCACTGCTGCTCCTCTGCGCGCCAGCACCACCTTCTCGGCAAGCAGGCAATCCCCATTTTACCAGAGAACATGAAAGCACAGTGCACCAGACAGCCTGACAGGGTCACCCAGCGAGGGAGTGGCTTAACCAGAAATAGAACGCAGCTCCTCCCGGCATCCAGCAGATTAGAGAGATTACAGAGGTTTAGCCGAGCTTCAGCAAATGCTTCAGATGAAATCATGCATGTAGTCAGGTACGAGAGGAAAATCAGAAGATTCTACCGGCAAAAGTGAAAGCTGAAAAGACTGCCATTCCGTGCAAGCATCCCAGGCCGCTGTACGTGCAGGAATGCACCATGTAGGGGCACCCTTGTGCCGTTTTTCTCCTTTTTTCCATAGGGTCTACTGAAAACAGAAGGGATATTTTAAGGGGCTATGTATGCAGTGATCACTGGGCAGGGAGTGACCGGTTATCACCTCCTCCAGAGGACTGAGGAAGGGGCCTACAAAGACTGCCTGTGTTCTGTGGCAGGTGTAGGGCAGAGAGAAGCCCTGGTCAGAAGTCATACAAGCTAACAACAGATACTTCATGCCTGAGAGAAAAACAAAGGAATGGCACAGAAGAGCGACCCAGAACACACCAGTCTCTCCCTGCACACAACCCCTAAGCTATTCAGCCCCAAACCCATTCAGCTCCACAGTGGTTTCTCACTTACACCAAACTCAGTCCTACCTTTTGGGACCTTGGCCCCAGGTGAGAAACACCACCAACAGCTTACAGTAGCAGGGATTCTAGCTCCCACTGCTAGGAAGCCCGTTTTCAGGAGTTAAGGACTCCCCAGGCATGCTGGCAAGGCTAAAGCAAGGAGATGTGGTTTTCCTGGCATACTGAGGTAGAAGTACATATCCACTCTCCTAGGGAGAAACCATCAAATGGTGACCAGGTATCACACCATTATCACCAGCAGACTTATTATACCTTATACACAGTATACTGTGTAATAAATACAATTTTGTGGCTGGAATGCACATTTAATTCATGATGCTGTTTGGGAAATCCATCTGGGTAACTGAGTAGTTCAAGTTCAGTTATTTCTTATCAGGACAAGACTGCCACCTAGTGGCTGAAGACTGCACTCACAAATGATTGCTAGACTTGAAAAGGGGCATGGGGAGTGGTGATGGAGGAAGACACCACCTAGCTCTCAACTGCCACCCTCCACGGAATGCCTAAGCTCACACTCCAAGAACTACGTGGAACAACACAAGGGTCAATTTGGGAGTGTGATTTATCACACTGGTGATCCCAATATGGAGCATAATTCCCTAAATTGGCACATTGGAGCTATTCATCACCAAAACTCGGCTCTGAAACCTGAGAAAATGTGGCTAAAAACGTTGAGCAGTAAATTACAAATCTGACACGGCCTCTTAAAACCCCTTTTCACCTCTAAGTAGCAGGTGGACTTCCACTTTCAGCTTGGCCAGAAGACTCCTCATAGTCTAAACCCATCTGGCTGGCTCCTGTCCGCTCTCGTGATCTGAGTCTGTCTTTCAACAGGACCCCCGGTGGCCCCAGCGACGCAGAGACTTCAGCACTGCTGTCAAGCCCCTCGGCAGGGACTGTCCATAACCCCCATCTTGTACACACAACAACAAGTCACTGCTGGCGACAGCTAGAGGCTTCCACAAATACAGAAACACTTCAACTTACCTTTCGTGAATTTCATGTAATGAACACGGTTTTTGGAGATTTTGGACTTCTCCTCAAGGCTGAACGATTTCTTTTCCTTGTTGTCGGAGGAATCTTGAAAAATGAAAGCCTTGCATTAAACTCCACGGAATCCATTCTCATACAGGAAATCGTTTTACCTAAATAAAACTTTTAGGAGCCCCACTATCTGTTATTGAACCCTAACCAAGCGATTAGAAATATTTTCCTTAAACAGCATACCATGGATTAGCTGAGACTATCTTTTAGAAATCTGTGAAATCTTTGAGGAAGAGAAATGAAAAATGTGTTCTTCACACAAACATTCACACTAGCCTTACTCATAATAGTAAAGTACTAGAAATAACCCAAAGGTCCTTCAATGGGTGAAGAACACTTAGCAAACTGGCATATCCTTACACTGGAACACCAGCCCACAATAAAGAGGCCAAGCTACTGATGCATGCCAACATAGAAGGACCTCAGGGCACTGAACGTAGGGACAAAAGTCAATCTAGCAGTGTTTGGCCTAGTGGTTAAGGTACCGCTCAGGACCTGCACATCCCACAGTGCAGTGCCTGGGTTCAAGGCCTAGCTCCACTCCTGACTTCAGCTTCCTGTTAGTGCACATCCTGGGAGGCCGCAGGCGGTGGCTCCACGCGGGAGACTGGACTGAGCTCTGCTGCTGTGGGCATCTGGGGAGTGAAGCAGTGGGTGGGCGCCTCCTCTCAGGCTGGCTGTTTCCCTCTGTGCCTCTCAAATAACTCAAAGGACCACCCAGGGCAGGTGTTGGACACAGTGGCTAGGCTGCCACTAGGGCCACCTGTACCCCTCGCTGGAGTATCCACTGCAAGTCCTGGTTCTGCTTCCAAACCCATCACGGAAATGTACATCCTGGAGACAGCAGGGGATGGCTCAAGCACCTGGGTCTCTGCCCCTCACGTGGGAGACCCAGATGGAGTTCTGGGCTCTTGGCTTTTGCCTGGCCCAGGGTTGGCTACTGCAAGCATTTGGGTTATGAGCCAGTGGATAGAAGAGCTCTCTCTCTGCCTTTCACACTAAAAAATTAGGGACAGCTTTTGTGGCACAGCAGGTTAAGCCACTGCTCATCCCATGTCAGAGTGTCTGCGATCACACCTCGCCTCTGCTTCTGATGCAGTTTCCTGCGGAGGAACCTGGGAGGCAGCGAATGATGGCTCCTGGTTTCAGACCAGCCCAGCCCTGGCTGCTGTGGGCATGTGGGGACTGAACCAGTGGCTAGATGATATGTCTCTGTTTCTGTCTGTCACTCTGCCTTTCAAATAAATACAAAAAATTTTTAAAAATTAAATAAAATAAAAAGGTCAACAAACAAAGAGCATATACTGAATGGTTCCATTTATAATACAGTCTCAAAATGATAAAACTAGATAGAGAACGATGGCTGGCCTCCAGGGGAAAGGGATCAAGGTAGGGTGGGGTGCAGGGGGATAAAGGAGTGGAATGTAGGAGCAAATACAAAGCGGCAGCACGAGGCAGCTCTCCTGTGCTAATGGGACAGTTCTGCATCCTGATGTGGTGGTGAGATGAATCTGTGATAAAACTGCACAGAAACATCGCACACATGCTAGATATGAAGCTGAAAAATGCAAAAGCAGAGTGAGTTCTGCAGTCTCATTAACAGTAACTCCGACCGCTGATTTTGCGGCTATGACATGCTGTGAGTAATGTAAGATGTCATCCCTGGGGACGCTGGGCTAAGGCTATTCAGGACTCTCTATACAATTTTTCCAACTTCCAATCAGCCTATAATTATTTTAAAATAGAAAGTTTTTCAAAACAGTGAATATAGGTAAGACAGGCTGAAATAGCATCGCAGAGGCCACTGGTGTGGTGTAGTGGGTTAAGCCAACTCCTGCAATGCTTCCATCTCTATAGAAGCACTGGTTTGGGGCCGGTGCTGTGGCACAGCGGGTTAAAGCCCTGGCCTGAAGCACCGGCATTACATATGGATGCCAGTTCTAGTCCCGGCTGCTCCTCTTCCAATCCAGCTCTCTGCTTTGGCCTGGGAAGGCAGTGGAAGATAGCCCAGGTCCCTGGGCCTCTGTACCCATCTGGGAGACTTGTAAGAATCTCCTGGCTCCTGGCTTCGGATCGGTGTAGCTCTGGCTATTACAGCCATCTGGGGAGTGAACCAGCAGATGGAAGACCTCTCTCTCTCTCTCTCTCTCTCTCTCTCTGTCTCTACCTCTCTCTGTAACTCTGTCTTTCAAATAAACAAAATAAATTTTAAAGAAAGAAAGAAAAAGAAGCACTGGTTCAAGTCCAAACTGCTCCACTTCCAATCTAGCTCCCTGCCTAGGAATGCAGCAGATGGCCCAAGTGCTTGAGCCCCTGCCGCCCATTATGGGAGACCTGGATAGAGTTCGTGGCTCCTGACATCATGAAACAGGTGCGAGATGCTGGCCAGGTGAGGCCAGGTGAAGAGTGTGAAGCATGACCTGGAGGGCTACCTGCAAGGGTGACAACACAAACACAGCATGGAGGAGGGAATGGGCGAGATGCTCTCCTAACAGAGGAGGAGAACGTGAGGCACCAAGTGGTCCCTTCCAGATCAAGTCCCTCCAGTCAGGGTCACCGTTCAGACACCAACTAGCAGTCCACACTCCCTCCCCTTTATCTGTCTGTCAAGCCCAGACAGAAGAGCACCACAGAAAGAGTATCAGAGGGAGAAAGGGGACTGAATTCCTCTTAGTCTTCAGGAAATTTAGGTCCGAGGGTAGAGACAGGGGAAGAAGGAAACGTTCACCTTAACATCAGGACAAAACAAGCCCACTGGGCAGCATGTTAGCTAACGGTAATCTCGCCCAGGAAGAAGTTACTGATTTCCTAGACCACAGTGCAAATTCCACAGAAGGCTCCGAAGGTGACGACGGATGTGTCCAGCTTTCCCACAGTGCCCGATGACCTCAACAGGAGGACACACCCTCTTCTAAGCCACTTCCTAAGCATGCCTGGAGGGCTTCTTCATCACCAACTTTTTTTCCTCTTTCCATGACCCAAACGGTCATATGGCAAATAAGATTTTCTTTTTTTTTTTTTTTTAAGATTTATTTATTTAAAAGTCAGAGTTACACAGCGAGAGGAGACAGAGAGAGAGAAAGAGAGAGAGAGGTCTTCCATCCGCTCATTCACTCCCCAGTTGCCCAACTGGCCACAACAGCTGGAGCTGTGCTGATCCGAAGCCAGGAGCCAGGAGCTTCTTCCGGGTCTCCCACATGGATGCAGGGGCCCAGGACTTGGGCCATCTTCTACTGCTGTTCCAGGCCATAGCAGAGAGCTGGATTGGAAGTGAAGCAGCTGGGACTCGAACTGGCACCCATATTTGGATGCTGGCACTGCAGGTGGCAGCTTTACCAGCTACACCACAGCGTCGTCCCCAACAAATAAGATTTTCAATGTTGATGTTGCATATTCGCATCGTGCAGGAAGTGATCAACTTAAAGGAGCTGCCACCAGTAGAAAGCTCGAGCAGCACCAGGCGCTGGGCCAGGCTGTCCAGGCATTCTCATACTTCTCCCACAGCCCTACAAGGTAGCTGCCATGGCGCCGGAACTTAGCGCAGGGCAGACACGGAGGAAGGCCCATGCAGGCAGCAGCTATGAAGGACCGAAGCAGGCAGATGCAGCTGAGAGGGCACACCCCGCATGCCAGCAGAGCCGCTGTCAGAACTGAGGTTCCCTCTGGGCCCGCAGACTCGCCCGTGGAGGGGCGCCTGAGCACTTCTCTGCACCTCCCAGTGCTCCCCAGCGGACAGGAGCAGCAGTCCACATCACCTCTCCCACTGCCCTCCTCTCCCGTACAAAGGGAAGGCCAACTGCCCGCTTCCCAGGGCAGCGTGGGCGGGAGAGAGCCTCCAGTCAGGGTCCCAGGGCAGTGTGGGTGGGAGGCAGCCTCCCGTCAGAGCAGCCGAGGCAGCCCCTCCGCCACCTCATTAGGACAGGCGCTGCCAGAGACTGCCCTGCCCGGTTTCCTAAATGCCGCTCAGAATGCACGATGTGCGGCCTGGCTTCACTAACTGCAATCTACTAAACAGAATGACAGCCTAACCCAAAGGCAACCGTTCTACACCTGAAGCCTCAGGGTTTTACAAATATTCACACGTATTTGTTTTGTGGCAGAGAAACATGGCAGGATAACCAGTTTCTTAAACGTTCAAGCATCAAAATATGTTACCAGAAAATACCACGGGCCTATGAAATGGAGCACCTCCTCATTTCTGACCGCTAAAGAAGCGCTTGCTCCGGGAGCCGCTGAATGGACGGCGCCAAGTATCAGACGGCTTTGGTATTTAGTGTCCACTGCAGACATGAAGAACTGATGTAATGGTTTATTTTTAAATATCACCTACTGTTGCCTGGAGACATCCAGAGATATAATAGCTATATATTAAAATGTCATTATTTCCCCACAGGCCAGGATTATATTCTTTGCAACTATTTACCTATGACTTAACAAACATCAAGATGCCAGTCTAAAACTGTGAGGGCACACTGTTTTTCAAAGCTCTCTTAGGGGATATGTGAGCAATAACAAAGGAAAAAAGTGAAGATGCATACCTTAAAAACAACCTTTGTAAATAACACGTTCCTAGCATCCCAGTTTACTTCCAGAAATGAGTAAGATCATAAGCAACAAAATATCTGATGCAGGTTAACAGACGTTTCCTAAAATGAAAAGTTCTCCAAAAGGTTAAGTTGAGTCATAGGGGATAACTAAGTGAGACAGGGGAACTTTTAAAAATTAAATTTTAGGGGCCGGCGCTGTGGCACAGCGGATTAATGCCCTGGCCTGAAGCGCCAGCATCCCATATGGGCGCCGGTTCTAGTCCTGGCTGCTCCTCTTCTGATCCAGCTCTCTACTATGGCCTGGGAAAGCAGTAGAAGATGGCCCAAGTCCTTGGGCCCTGCACCTGCGTGGGAGACCTGGAGGAAGCTCCTGGCTTCTGGCTTCAGATCGGCGTAGCTCTGGCCATTGCGGCCATCTGGGTAGTGAACCATTGGATGGACCTCTCTCTCTCTCTCTCTCTGCTTCTCCTCTCTCTGTGTACCTCTGCC